GACCCAGGGGTCAGCCTGTATCATTATTTTGTGGGTGTCCACGACAGGCCCGGGGTACGGCACGGCGCGGCACGGCACGGCGCGGCATGGCCTGCTGGAGAGGGCCGCCGCCGCGCTACGCCCCGCCACGCGATATTTATCACACTGCTGAATTTGCGCGGGAAGGGGGAGGGCAGGGGCTGGAGATGAGGTTACACAGTGCCGGCGATGTTGACTCGCACTACACTGCACTACTGTACCCGTGTCCCTGTCCGCCGCTCGCCCTGCGAGGAGGACTCGCGTAGGGTTGCCACCCGTCATCTGCCCGGCTAGGCCACGCTAGGCTAGGGTGGCCGCCAAGCAGAGCAGCCAACCGTTTTTCTGTACGCGCCGTCAGTAGACACTGTCCTTCCGGCCGCTTTGGCGGGGCGTGGGGGGCGGGGCGGGGCGGCAGTAGGGGCCTCGCGGTTGGTGTCACTGCTTTTTGCGGGCGCGCGGTGTCAGTCTGTTCCGCCCCGCCTGGAAACACAACAAAGACTCCTCCGATGCCCATTGTCTGGCGAGGACGTGTGCCTCTTGATGTGGCGCTAAGCAGCGCTAAGCCGTTGGCATTGCCCCGCCCCGCCCCCTCTTCTTTCTGCACGGCCTGCAGGGCCTGCAGGGCCTCCAGCAGTGCTTCAGCACCCCTTCGGCCCTCCCCGATCCAGCACCCTTAATCCCAGAGAGTAGTGGCCGCCCGCAGTCGTCGCTGCGTGCTGCCGCACTGCTTGCCTGCACTGCTGGTGTTCCGGTGGCGTGGCGGCTCCAGGTCCCCACAGTGTACGCGCTGCGCGAGCGCGACGCGGCGCGGTTCGTCCGTCCGTCCAAGGGCGTCCTTGTAGTGTAGCGAGCCGCCGAGTGATAATGCCGCCCGCGTCTCTTTTTCCTCCCCGCCTCCCTCCTCCCCGTCATCTGCCTGCCTGCCCGCCGCGCGCCGCGTCTGCTGAGGGCGTGGATTTATGCAAGACGCAAGACAAAGCATCTATAGGGCCTTACTTGCGGGGCTGCTCGGCCCGCTTCTGCGAGGAGCCGGGCGGAGTGGCGGGAGGGCCTCGTCGGAGGGCTTACGGAGAGGGGCCGCAGAATCCCATCAGCAACGCAATTGTGCCCGGACAGGCCGGACGAGGGTGTCATTGTGCGGTGAGCTATGGGCTGCGAACCTGCGGCCTGCGGGGCCTGCGCCGCTGGCAGGCCGACCCGGGACGCCTGGCGGGCCTGGCACCCACCGCGGTGTCATGTGTCACTTTCTGAACGGCCGGGTCGATGCTTCGTCCACGAATGACGTAACGCCGTGTCCTTGACCCCCTTCCGGCGTCACGTGGTTCTTGCACAGCGCCAAGTGCACCGCGTTGCCGCGTTGCCGCGTTTGCCGTAATCCGGCCGTCAGCCAACGACCTCCTTGGGCCGCTTCCGAACGACAGCGTCTCTCTCTCTCTCTCGCACTCATGGGACGTCCCGCAAGGGTGCGAGAGAGAGACCCCTGCTCGGAATCAGCCCGCAGGCTGAGCCGGCCCGCCCGCTCCGCATCATCAGTGACACGCAATTTGTCATATGACGGCACCGATCCCTCCCGCCGTGCTCCCGCCTCCCCCATGATCCCCTGCGCCGCGGTGCCGCGTCGCGTCGCATCGCCGCGGTCCTCTCCGCGTTGTCACAGGCGACGCGGGGACGACGCGTACGTGGCCGTCGAGGCTTCCCCGCAGACGTGCTGCCCGTGCGTCCGTTCGTCCGTCCGTCCGTCGTCCGAGTCCAACCCTGTTCGGCGCCGAATCATCGGCAACTTGCCTCACTGACTCACCCCGACTGGCCCGGGCCGGCCAGGCCGTTTGCCGCTGCAGTGGCTCCGAGTTTGGTGGGCGCGCAAAGTTTGCAAGCGGACGACTTGGACTGCAGCAGGGCGGCAGGGGGACTTGGTGGCGGGGTTGGGCCGGGCCGGGAAGGCCGCTTGCTGACGAAGTAGCAATTGGCTTGTGAATGCAGTTTGGGAGCGGGCGGCCCGACTGCCTGGCTGGGGTCGTTGGGCGAGACGGGGACGACGACGACGTCGACGACGGGGCTGCTGCTGCTGACCACACATGAATTAATTTGCTCCCCGAGGACGCAAACAGCCGCGTGTCCCTGGCCCTGAGGCCTGGCCCTAAGGAGCTTTGGCGAGCGGGCCGCCGCGCGGTCACCCAGGCCGAGGCGGCGCGGCGGCGAGGCCGAACCTCTCATCAAGGCCGTTATCAGCTCGTGATATGATTGTCCAGCAGCCACGCGGCCGAGCCGTGGCGTGCACGGCCACTGCCGCCCCCGCCCGAGCGCCTCGCCCAGCCTGGCCCAGCCTCGCCGCGGACGGACGGTCGATCCGGGGCTTTTTGTTTGTGGTCGCCATGGCGACGGCGGCACGGCGGCCGCGGGGATGAGGAGGGTGGCCCGGACGGCGGCCCGGTCGGCGGCCGGCTCAGCCCCAGCCCGCCCGCCGGCCTTATCATTAGGTGTGCTGTTTTAACGTTTACGCCCCGAGGAAAGTTGGGCCGCAAAAACGAACGGGCCGAGCGAGCCAGCCTTGGACGCGACGACGGGTTGTGGTTTTTGCTCGCGCGCTGACAGCGCAGGGTTGACTTCCGTGCCGGCGTGTTGCGTGGCGCGGCGTGCTGTAGCGTGCTGGTGGTTACAGCGGCGGCCCCGCCCGGCCCGCAGCCCCGCAGCCCCGCAGCGCTGTGACTGCCCCGTCATCTCGAATTACTGTCCTGATGGCCAGCCGGATGTGGGGCGCGGGGCGCGCCCGGGCGGTGGACTTCGTGGACTTCGGCCAGCGCCGCTCGGCCACCCTTTGGCCACCCTTTGCCTGGCGAGCCTTCGGACGGTCTTTGGACTTAAACGGCCTTTGTCCTGCCTTTGAACAGCTTTCGGACGGCGTGTGGACACCACTTGGACGCCCTTTGGACGCCTCGGTGTGGAAACACGCCCGAGGCCCCACCCTCCCCGACATACATTCCGACCGCGGCACCGCAGCACGCTTCCATGCCGCGGGGCGGCGCGGGGCGGCGGTCCCCGCCAGGATCGTGACCGGGATGGCAAAGCGCGCGATGCCGCTGTGGTGTCTGGTCGCGGCAGCGAAAGCAAGCGAAAGCTGGCCGCGCCGCTGTACCGCGAGGCGAAACTGCGGCTTTCAAAATTCTGAAGCAAATTGAGCGATGCTGTTGGGTTAAATTGGTGCGGGCGATATTGTTGGGAGTAGTGCGAGTCGAGCCTCAGCCACCACGCGGCCTCGGCGGTCTCGGCCGCGCTCGCCTTCCCACAGGGCCTTCCCTTCCCTTCCGCAGGCCCGCTGCTGCCAGGCCTGCCAGGCCCCGGCTCGGCCCGTCATGGCAGGGATTAACCCTTTCCACACGCATCCTCGTAATCATAGCTGTCCCAAACTAATTCCTGCCGTGTGTGGGGGCGGGGGCGGGGTGAGGCGGGGCGTCTCTGATGTCGTTAGCGAGCGGGCGCGGCGGTATTGGGCCGCCACACACACAAAGACCAGACGCGCACACACACACACAGACAGACAGACCACATGTACATAAATACACAAAAACACACACACACTCACGCAGCAGACTCACGCACAGCCACACAGCGCGGCGCGCCATGCCCGCGAGTCTTTCGCGCGCCCTCTTCTTCAATTTTGTAACTTTTGCTTCATCCAACCCTCACTCAGTCCGCTGCCGGTGGGCTTTTCGGTGGGGTGGCCGACGGACCGACCACCACCGCGACGGCTTGCTTTTGACACGGCATTCGGTGCCACGAGGACTCCAGCGGACCCGCCCACGCCACAGGCCCACAGGCCCACGCTTCGCAACGCCGATCGGATCGCTCCGTCTCTCTCACACCCACAAGAGACGCCGCAGGAGCGCGACAGAGAGAGAGACAGAGACAGAGAGAGAGCGACGAAGTGACTGGTGGCCGTCCCCATCCGTCAGCGCGGGGCCGCCGCGGAGTCTGGACAGCTTGATTATTGCCTTGCGCCCTCGTCATCGCGGAGACACTGCTTCAACGAGGGCGTGACGCCGCGTGACGCGCACGCTGCAAAAAATGACGGGAAGGAAACATTGTCGAATCTTTGGCCGTTGCAAGCCGCGGCCCGCCTCGGTGCGACGACACGGCAAGGGCGGCGACAAGCGACGCGTGATGTCTATCAAGTTTTGGTGCGTGCTGCATATTCATGCCGAACAACGGGGAATTCATTTCGGGCCGCCGCCTTAATCCGCAGCGCGCGCAGCGTTAAGAACAAAAGTCGTTGCGCGGCGCGGGGCGGGGCGGGGCGGGGCGTATCGCGAGCGCTGGATGGCGCGGCGGGGGGCAGGTGGCGCGCCATGGCGGTGGGAACGCGGGCAGGTGTGGGAAGTGGGGAGTGGGGTGGCTGTGCTGTGCTGGGCGTGGAGTTGGTTGTTAGGAAGGAATGCGACGGCGCTATCGGTGCGCCTGGAAGGGAAGCCTGAAGCCTGAAGCCCGCAGACGCCGTGCTTTTACTTGACTCGTGCATTTAGGCGCCCCTGTGCCCCCGTTTGTTTTGCTGCCACACACACACACTCCCACACACGGCGCTCTATCGCCAACGGAATCAGTTGGCCCCACACGCCCCGCCGGGGGCCCAGGCCCGCCCAGGCCCCCAGCACGCCCTGGCGATACGCCGCCCCCTCCGGGCCCCGCCGCGCCCCGCCACGCCCCTCTGGGCCCCTCGTCCGCGCCGTCCTGGCTGTGTCGCCATTTGTCATCAGTGCCAACATATTTAGAACATGTATGGTGCGCGGAGATAGGTCCCGACGCCGCCAGGGCTACGCTGGCTTGGCTGGCGTGGCGCTGCACGGCGCTGCAGTTATCTTTGAAGTGTCGCCAACAAACACAGCGGCGGCCTGAAATATACGGACGCCGGGCGCCCCGTGACTGTCTGTCTCTGTCTGTCCGTGTGTTGGAATCGGTGCTGACTGCCTCTCTCTCTCCGCGTGTTGCAGGCTGGCCGGGACGACGCCCAGCTCCGCCATCATGGCGGCCAACCCCCAGCTGACTCCGGTGGTGCTGCCATCCTTCCCGACGTCGCTCCGGGCGGGCTCCGGCGCCACGTACTCGCCGTACTCGCCGTCCCGCTTCCACATCGACAAGCGCTGCCAGCACCGGTGCTCCTGGAAGTGCTGCTCGCTGGCGCTCATCCTGCTGTGCGTCGTGCTCACCGGCATGCTGGCCTACTTTGGAGGTGAGTACGAGTCCGCTTGCCCGAGGCGTTGCTCGTCGCTAAGGAGCCTCGTGTCGCTTTCGAGAAGCAAGTTCAGCATCTGCCATTCCCTTCATTTTTTTTTCATTTTGTTTGCTGTTTTTTTTAGTGTATTGCAGCATGGCATCAAGCCGGCTTTTCAATCGCGCCGTCAAACTCGATTCGCCCCATTTCCGGCCCCTTGAATCTCTGCGCGACGCCGCCTCGTCCTCGTCGTGCCGCCCCCATGCCGCCCCCATGCCGCCCCCATGCCGCCCCCATGCCGTCCTCGTCCGAGGAGGTGCGCGGCTCGTCACGGCCCGGGTGTCACTCGGGCCGCGGCAGGCCGCGGCTCTGCACTAATGGCCACAGTTAGCCGACCACGCCCCGCCACGCCCCCGACTCTCGACGCCCCACGCACAATGGGAAGACGTCTCCCTCCCCCTCCCTCTCTCTCTCTCTCTCTCTCTCTCTCTCTCTCTCTCTCTCTCTCTCTCTCTCTCTCTCTCTCTCTCTCTCTCTCTCCAGTTCCCCTCTCCATCCCCGCCTCTCATTCGATCATGCGCTCCTTGTCGCTCTGCCCCGCACCTTTGTCCGGCCCCAACGCGCACAATTTCTTTCCTTCATGCCCGCTGTCCCTCTTGGCCGGTGCTTATCTCTCTCTCGCACTCACTCTCACGCGCGCGCGCGCAGCTGTCACAGCAATAACCTTTGTGCCGAGGGGAAACTACTACTATCCCGAACAAAAAGCCCCAAATAACTCCGGTGGAGACCGCGGAAGGGTTCTGGAGGGCGCCACTGCCGCGCCACTGCCGTGCCGCCGCCTACGCGAGGGCCTCGATGAGCTTCCCCGCCATGACGAACGCCGGGCCGACAGTTGGCGACGAGGTGACAAGCTGTGGCTCTTCTTTTCGTGCGCCCCGCCCCGCGGCCCGCGGCCCGCTCGCGGTAATGGCATCATATACGTCAAGCAGTGCGTGGCGGCAGTGGCGGCGTGGAGCCTCCGGCCGGGGGCGCTGCAATCGAGTTAGAGGACGCCGTCGACGCGGTGTGCTGGTCGCCTGCCTCGCCGGCCTCGAGGTGCTAATGGCGCTGGATTAGTCCCGGGCGCCAAATCCAGTCACTCGCCGGCACACCCTTGATTACCCTGTCCTTCTCCTCGGCCAAGGCGGCCAAGGCGGCGGTGTCCCGGCGCGGCGTTTACACGACGACCGTCCTGGGAGCCAGACGGAAGGGGGTCCTTCCCCCCGCCGCCCCGCCAGCCCCTCGCCGTCGGCGACCTGGATCCGCTCGGCGCATCCCTTGCTCGTGTCGGGCGCGCGATATTTGAAATGCAAATGGGGGTAGTTCTGATACGTATTGGGACACGGCGGCGACGGCCCGCGGGACAGGCTGGCACCGGCGTCACAGAGACAGGCGAGGCGGGTCGGGGCGCCCCAGCGGAGCCCCCAGCAGCCCCAGCAGGGGCAGTCCACCTGCTGCCGTCCCGTCCGCCCCGCCCCGCCCCGCCCCGCCATTCCCACCAGGCTGCCTTGCTCACTGGCCGACTTGATCGCCTTACCATTCCCACCTGACTTGGTCCCACGGGAGTGCGTCGCCGCGTCGCCGCGCCCGGCCGCCCCGACGGCAGTGCCCAAGGCAGTGCCCGTGTTGTTCGCGCGTCGTTGCGATTCCCAGCCGACTCGGCGAAGCAGGCGAAGCATGCCGCCAATCAACATTCCGTCTGCCGTCGGCCGCCGCGACGCTTGCCGCTTTCGGCGGGCCACTCCCGGTGCCCCCGCTGCCCCCGGCCAGGCTCGGCTCCCCTCGCGGCGGCAGACGACGACTCAGAGATTATTTGATCAGTCCCAGTCTCAGTCTCCCCGACGCGACCCATCCGCGGAGACAATAAATGTCTTTGTGCGTGGGGCCGTGGGGCTGTGGGGTCGCCGCCGTCGCCTCGGTCGCGTCGGCCGCCCGGCCGGACGGACTCTTGGAGGAGCGACACGAAATGTAGGAAGGAAGACAAGTCTATCGCTCAAGTGATTGCAAACTGAGGAAGGGGCGGGGCCCCGCGGGGCGGGCGCTCGAGGGTGCGAGGGAGACGGGCGGACGGAGGGAGTGCGAGAGAGACAGACAGACGGAGGGAGCGTGCGGGGGACGCACGTCAACATTGAGATCGATATTGCGAGCGCGGGACGCGGCGGGACGGCAGGGACTAGGGACGGGGAGGCCTGGACAGGGAGTCACTTCCGCCTTGTTCCATCCTCGGCCCTCTTCCTTCTCTCTCCCTCTCCCTCCACCTGGCTTCTCCCTTCTCTCTCTCTCTCTCTCTCTCTCTCTCTCTCTCTCTCTCTCTCTCTCTCTCTCTCTCTCTCTCTCTCTCTCTCACTCTCTCTCTCTCTCTCTCTCGCCCTCCCTCCCTCCCTCCACCTGCACGGCGCACGGCAGACCGGGGGTGCAGTGTGGGCGATGATGAAGCGCGCCCCGTAGACTTGAGCCTGATCGAAAGACGAGACGCTCCACGAGACGCTCTACGAGGCTCTTGCGTCGCTCGGAACGACACCTGGCCGTCGTTCCGTTTTTATTTATTTTTTATTTCGTCTTGGTGGGATAGGAACCTCGCGGGGCGTCGCGGGGCGTTGTCGCGGAGCACGCTCTCGCGTGGCGGGGCGACGGCGACGGCGAGATTCGCAGAACGGCACTTGTTCTTATTTCGGCTCGGCCGGCATTCGACCGCGTCACGCCGCTCGGCTTTTACAGCCCTGTCGTTCTGGTTCCGAGCCGAGCCGCGCGAGTACTGCCCGCAAGGCCTGCAAGCAAGGCCTGCATGCTCGCATCGCGGAATCGTTTGGCACCTACCCGCCCAAGCGCGCTTCGCTCAGAGACCAGAATCTTTTTCTATTCCGTTTTGACGTACTTTAAAAGGACTTTTTTTTGGAGGGGTCCATTTTTTGGGGTAATGCTGGAGCATGAAGACGAGGGCGAGGGCGGCGAGGGCGGCGCAGGCAGGTCGTGACGGAGAGCATGCAACAACCCGTGAAGATGTACGCGATGCGACGCGATGCGACGCCCCGGCGGCAAGGATAGGAGAACATCTTGCCATGTCACAGCGCACATCAGCACGCATCGCGCATGCCATCACTGGGCGCCCTTGTGTGTGTGTGTGTGTGTGAGCCCCATTCTCCCCGGGCATACATTTACTGTATGATCCATGGCCGCGCGGACCTCGGCACCCTCGCCATGTAGGCCGCGCTGGGGGCAGACGGGATGGGGGGCAGGGGGAGGGGGGAGCATCCGGGCAGAGTTATTTCTTCCCCTGCAGTCCATGTCACCACACCAGTATTCATGGCACGTGCGTGCGCAAGGTACACCGCACGATACACACACACGCGCGCTCTCTCTCACACACACTTATACATGCGCGCGGCGTGGTGCATCGAACTGTCGTCTCGCGAAGCAGCAGCCTAGCTAGCGAGGGAGTGCATGAACTCGAGAGTGAGGTCGGTACCCCGCCGCCGCCGCCGCTGGCCCTCGTCGAGATACTCACACTATCCTCCTTCTCCTCCTCCTTCTCCTTCCTCGGCCTTCGGGCCCTACCCGTGGGGCGAACGGTCACCCTCCCACCCCTTCCCCTGCACCTAGGCACGGCGGCACGGCCGATTGGCTGCACGGCGACGTGTCCGCGAGGAGACAATGGTGGCCGTGATGAGCCTCGTCCAGCAGGGTGGACTTGCGGTGCACCAGGCCCTCCTCTCGCAGTGTGGCGTCGGCGTGCTCGCTGCTCTGCCGCCACCTCGTCTCCGCGCGCTTCTAATGGATTTACTTCTCTCGAGATTTGGGATTAATATCGCCCGGTTGGGCGCCCCGCCCCGCCCCGCCCCGCCCCGCCCCGCCTTGCAAGTTGCACCGAGACGGCCTCCTCGTGGCGGCCGAGGCCTGGGCGAGGCGGCCGAGGCCGTCGCCGTCCTCGCGGCGATCGCGTTGTGTTTGGCGGCGTAATGAGTGGTGCTTTAAAAAGTTTGCCGGGGGATTACGAGCGGGGAGGCCAAGTCGACGAGGAGCACGAAGAGGGTCCCGGCGGCGTCCTGGCGTCCTCCACGGCCCGGCAGGGGAAGAGGAGGGAGCGTCTTCAAAAATTAGAGGCTGTTGGTGATTTGTTTCGCCGGGGCGTTGTGGCGTTGTGTTCGATCGGGTGGAGGGAGGGGTGGGGGTAGAAGGCCCACTGGAAGGGTTCCCGTCACGTCAGAGCGGCCCGGGCGGAGCGAAATCTCGCAGGAAAGTGGCTGCTCGGGGCGGCGGGGCGGCGGGGGCGACTCAGGTGTAATCGATTTAAATCCGCTGCTAATCATTTTGAGCGAAAATCAGGCCAGCCAAGGCACCAGGTGCGGGAAGTGGCGGGGCGGGCGGGGCCGAGGCGACGCAGGCGAAGCACCGCCTTCGATTACGAGGCGAGGCTGCCGCGCTGCCGGTCATGAGGTCTATTTTCTCGGTGTGCTTGCTGCGGCTGGGCCGGCTTGGGGCCCGGGGCCCGTGGGGACGCAAGGTGCTGTGTGGGGCGGGGCGGGGCGGGGCGGGGGGGGAGGAGCAGCCGTCTACCTCGGGCAGAGATAGCAAGAGACAACAGAGCAGGGGCGGGGGAGAGGGGAGCGCGAGGGAAGGGGAGCCCGACAGGGAGTTAATGGGCGCCGGATTGCGTGAGACGTTTTGTAATTACTGTAAATTGGAAGGATTGGACGGATGTGCTGGAAGGGTTGCCTTGCGTCCCTTCGGGCCGCGTCGGGC